AAAAAAAAAAAGAACAAATGAGGAAATTGGTCGCGTATAAGATATGAGAAAAAGAGAAAGAAATAAATAGTGGTAAGAAAAAAAAAAATGAAACGAAGAGGTAATGTTAATAAGAAATAGACATGAAGAAAAAAATCGGGGGATAAATAACAAAATTGCTTAACGTTTAATTTCGATGAAATCTGTTCTACGTATACACGTGCAAGTGTGCATATATATGCGCATGAGACTTTTGAGAGTGAATATTATGAAAAAAATATAATATTTAACAAACACATTTTAAAATGTCGAATAATTATTTCTGTCATACTTTAACACATGACATTTAATCGTCTTTGAGAAATTAATGACGGTGTTACGTAATCAACCGTAAGACTTCATAATCATGAAATACTATTTTTACCAAAGATACAATGACTTATTTCAACACACAACATTTTGGTAAAATAATAATGAATCTTTTTGATAAATTCTTTCGACTTTTGTTTATTCAAATGTTTTTACGTGATCCGAATAAGTGTAAGTTTTATATTTACAGCTGGAAAACAATAACCTCGAACGATTAGAACAATTAAACAGAAGTCAGTTAACAAAAGGTTTTTTATCTTACAGATTTTGCAAATATTTATTATTCTGCAATGACTGAAATGATTATCATTTGATCATTTCGCTAATCTTACAAAAAATATATATGCTATTCGATGCATTGTTGGAGCCATTGTCAATTCTGAAAATCAAAAATCAATTAATACTAAGCATAATTTATAAATATTCGTTTAAATATCAAATGTAATTCTATTTTTTTCTTTGACAAAATTAAAAAGTTACTTTTATATTTGGTTTTAATAGATCAATCGCAATAACGCAGACGATCACGTTAAATTATGGAAAGTGTATTTTACATTTCACACTTTTATGATCAATCGATGTTCGGTCAATGATATACGGATGGCATAAGTTCTTATCCTCTTTGACGAGATCGATAAACACATGAAAAGTGCAAATAAAGTATACTTTCACAGCTGCACCATTCTGCATATTTAATATTTAACATGACTTTTTTGCTTGTAACGAAGAATTTCCATGAATAATTATATTTTTTTTTTCTCTCTCTCTCCCTCTCTCTCTCTCTCTTTTTCTTTTTCTTTTTCTCTCTTTTCATGAGCAAAAAATATTTTACCAATAAAGAACGACCAATACAGAATAAAACTGAAATAAATAATTTTCCTTGACGAACTGAAATTTACCTCTTTTTATTTTAATTTATAAATCATCATAGTATAACATATTTACACACAGTGAATTTATATTTTCCAGTATACTTAATAGAACTTTCTTCGTGATTTGATTTTTTTTAATTTTTTAACATGGATAATTAATACATTTATTTGAGTGTTGTCAAAACCAAATGAGCGTAAATTGAAATATAAAAAATTATAATAAAATGCGAAAAGTTTTGAAAATATTACGAATTTCTTTTATAAAATTAACGTTCGTCTATTGTCCCCTTTCCTCTTTACATTTCGACACCTGCAAATATTTGTTCTTTCTTTTTGTCTTTTTAACCCGTGAGAAAAAGGTTGGTATAAAAAAGAGATAAGGATATCGAAACAGAAAAGACAAAGAAGAAACGACAAATCTATTGATATCGAAAAGATTTACTCTATCGATTTTCTCTCGAAGAAACGCTAAACGAAATCGGTTACTTGACCTTAAATAAAATAGAGAATCGTGCTTTTGTTCTGTTAAAATGAAATCTTTCTTTGATTGGTTTAAAGTAATCGTTTATCTAGAATTTCCAATTAAATTAAATCCTTTTTCTTATTATCGCTCTCTTTTTCTCCCTCCTTTTCTCTTTCACATACCATAATATCATTTAGTAGTAAATCGATTCGCACAAGGATAAAACAAAAATGATTTGATGATTAATATGATTAATTAGAAATATAATGCATAATTTAATGAAATCCAATATATTTGGAAATGCAATATACGATGTTTCACTTCTCATAACAATAAAAATTTCTGTTACTATCGATAAAACAATTTTCATTTATACGTTTACATTATGTCTAATACCTATTACGAAATTGATTAAAAACTATTTGCACAATGAACGTTCTGTAAAAGGAATCCGATGGGCATATTATAGATTCAATAGTATTACAGTCGTTTGAAATGTGAATAAACGATTATCATTTTAAATTCGGAAGAAAAATGAG